TAGAGATGGGGTTTCTCTGTGTTGGTCAGGCTGGTCTTGAACACCCGACCTCAGGTGATCCGCCCACCTCAGCCTCCCAAAGTTCTAGGATTATAGGCTTGAGCCACAGCACCCAGCTTCTGAGTGATTTTTAAATGTCACAGAAAGACCATGCTTAAATGCTGATGGCTTCACAGGCTAGCATCTACAGGAGAGAATTTAGAAAACTGGCAGATGGATACTTTGCTGAGAAAGGATTTTGTAAAATAAATGTAGTTACTCCTAATTATGCAGCAACTGCAGTTTATTTCAACTCCTAATAAATATCTAATTTGTAGGGCCAAAAAATATTCTGGGAACTTGCTTGCTCTATTTATTTCTCTCCAACTGGAGCACCCTGAAACCATCTGAGGCCTAAAATAAACAGACAAATAAATAAAAATTGGCGGGAATTCAGAGCTTCTTGCCCGCAGTAGACTTTTCTTATCCTACGAAAGAAAAAATTAAGTAAATAGATTAACTTTTAGGAACAACTGACAGTGAAGCGGGAGAGTTCCTGACCACCCTCGAAGGATGTGCAACAGGGGTGTGGCTTGTCTCTTCAGCCCCACAACTGGGAGGGGGAGCATGAAGGCAGGAAGGTATAGGAGATGGGGCAAGTGCCCCTGGTCTCTGACCCCATGACAGCATCCAGGGGTAGGAGCCTTTATCTCCCAAAGCCCAAGTAGGTGTGTGATGGCTTTCTGTAGTCTGAGCTCTTATCTGGCATCCAGGAAAAATCAGGTCACACACAGACCTGAAGGATGAATGTGGATGTTTTATTCAGTGGGAGAGGTGACTCTCAGCAGGATGGATGGGGAGCTGGAAGGGGGATGAGGTGGGAAATTCATCTTCCCCTGGAGTTTGGCCATTCAGCAGCTGATCTCCTCTCTGACCATCCCCAGCTGAACTCCTCTCAATGTTCAGACGCTCCTTCTCTGTTGCTCTTCTGTTCATCTGCTCGTCTCCTTGTGGAGCCTGGGGTTTGGGGTTCATATGGGTACAGGATAGGGAGGTACACAATGCAACTTTTGGGCATGAAAACAGGAATTCCTGTTCCCATTTAGGGCCACAAGTTTCCAGGCTTGAGGGTGAGGCCTTTGCCAGGGAACTGCCCTCTTCTACCCAGTATTTCCCTGTCACCTGTTTATTATCAACAGTAAGTCTTCTGCAAGGGTTTTGTTGTTTTAAAGGTATATTTCTACAGCAATTTTTAAATATAATTTATGATATTTTAGAGCATTTCCAAAATCTCCAAATCAAATTAATTTTCATTTTCTTCATGGTTAAAAAAAAATCTTTTGTTTTGGCAAAAGAGTAGGATAGAAGCGTCTCAAAGTCAAACAACCCATTTGTTTAATTCCAGCAATACGAAGGATTGCAGATGTGTGTTGGCTGAATAAAGTTATGTAATATGATGAATGCAGAACAGGGCACTGGGCAAGAGAGAGCACCAAGCTGAAGGTGGGCTTCTTGGAAGCTAAGATTGACAATATCTGTGGCTGATAAAAGTAAAGAGTAACAGTTCCCTGGTTGTAGATCATCCGTATTTGGCTGGAGAGCAGTTATCTACGGTCCGTAACTGCCACATGGTCCAGAATTCTAGGAATTAGGTAGCAAGAAAAAGTGCTATTTCTGGAGAAATGGATGATGGGACTCTGATCCTGGTGAGAAACATAGAGCCGTGGCTTTCAATTCTGGCTACACATTAGAATCATCTGGTAGATGTTGTTTTTTTAATCATGCTATCAGACCCTCCACCCAATAGACTCTGATTTAATTGGTCTTGGGTAGAGCCCATCACTCTATATATGTGTGTGTTGCTCTGTTTTGAAGTTTCTTAGGTAATTTTATTGTATAGTCAGCATTGAGAACCACTGGCCAATGTTAGTTGAAGCTCTTAAGAATCAACATGCTTTTTTTTCTTTTTCTGGAATTTGCTAGACAAATTCTAAAGGGGCTTAAACTCTAAGAATCAACATGCTTTACCTTCACAGCTAGGTTCATTTAACTGCCATGGTAGAGTCATTCTGTTATCAACCAGGTTTATTCTGCCCAGCAGCAAGTCAATTACTAAGACTACCGGGTTTTGCACACAGAGTTTATTCAAGAGACGATCAAGCCCGGAGGGAGAATAGGTCTCAAATCTGCCTCCCTAAAGATATGGTTTTAGGGACATTTGTTGGATTGAGGAGCAAAGTGGTCCAAGGCTGAAGAAAGGTAATTGGAGGAAAGAAAGGTGTTCAGTGATCTGTGCACATGTAGTCAAGCTTCATGATTCTTCATAGAATGCATGTTAAGAAAATGGTGGCTTTAGCACAATATGAGGGAGGAATTTTTGGCCCTCTGATGCCAAAGATCATCTCTGGGCATTTATGCAAGCCCATTTGAAGGGTGGGTGGTCTCAGTCAGCTAGAACTGGCCAAGAACTTCCCCCTACTTTCTGAAAAACAACTTTAAGCAACCATTACTATGAGTGGTTCCCAGCCAGAGATGTTATTCATAAGGAAGCTGGCTTGGGTTTATTTATATATTGTTTGGCTCTGTGACCTGCTAGTGGGAGTTTTAGGACCAACAAGAAGTAAGTATTTAAAAGCAATTGTTAATCAAGTTTAGTCTAACACTGCCTCCTTACATATTTAAGTTTGGCCTAAGGGTTTTTTCTCTACACCGTGCACTATGACAAGTGGAGATGTAAACTGACCATATCCCACACCTGTGCCAATCACTGAGTTTTGGCCGATCAATTGTAGCCAACTGTTTAAACCATGTTCAAATCAGGCAAATGACAACCTGTAACCAATCCAGCTGTTTCTGTACCTCACTTTCAATTTCTGTACGTCATTTCCCTTTTTTTGTCTGCAAATCTTCTTCCACCACATGGCTGCTCTGGAGTCTCTCTGGATATTCTGTTTCTGGGAGCTTCCTGATTTGCAAATGTTCGGTGTTGAATTAAACTCCTTTAAATTTAATTCAGCTGAGGTTTTTCTTTTAACAAAGCAAGGCAGGTTAAGTTTGGCAGGCTTAATCGGGTTAGACCTCGGTTTCAATTCCTTCTCTAGTCCAGTCCCATTTCCAGATAGTTATTTAGCTAAATAAGTCAATACTCAAGTGCTGTCGATTTCATTCTGAACTATGGTAAGGACCATCCCAAGACACAGGCAAACAGGGCCCTAAAGGGGGGCTCCACATTTCCTTTCCCTTTGGAGAAATATCTTTAAAATTTTCTAGTCCCCATTTGGTGCTTGGGACCTAAGTCTGGACCAGAATCTGCAAGGGTCCTTGTCCCTGTTTTTCCTCTTTGGGGGTAATTTTCAAAACTGTATCACACCCCCCACCAAACACTCCCCATCAAACTAGTTGGGGTCAACCAGATGTCCTAAAGCACTCTGGGCCCTGTACCATTGGAATCATTCTCATAGATGGCCCCAGTTCCAGGAGGGAAGACTAGTGAGCAGTTAGCTTCACTGGTCAACAGGGAGTTTTTCCACCATGAGATCATGTGATATAGAGCCCTCAAAATGGTGGTGACACTGATTTGAGGTAACTCAAATTTTTTATATAGACGGGGACTGCAAACCCAAGGGTATCCTGCTGAAGAGAATCTTAATTCATTCGCTTATTTTATCTGCCCAAGTCTCCTACAATTTCTCCTTTTCCCAGTTTCTTCTAAATAAAATGCTTTCTGGTACCTCCCCTGGCTTTTGGGCCCTTGGAAGTTTACTGAAAATCACAGACATGAAGCAGATTGATTAATAGGAGGAAAGACATAAAGTTTATTTCATGTGCACACACAGGAGCCTTCAGAATGAAGACCCAACACCCCAGTGTGATACAGTATCTAATGTACCTACTTGAGATTGTAGAAAGAATGCAGGCTCAGAGCATGGCCCAAACAGGTTATGTTGGTAAATCAGGTTTTAATGGCAAAACAGGTTATGAGTGGGAGGAAGGAAGAGGCTTGGCTAGCATAGAGGGGTCTCCTTAGGTAGATGAAACCTCATAAGTAGCAACCTTCAGAGAGAATAAATGATGAATATTTCTTTTCAGACTTTTAAAGGTATCAGTCTCTCAGTTGATCTCTCCTAGATCCTGGAAAGGCTTAGAAAGGGAAGGCCAGCTACATTAATTGAGACTCTATAGTTGCAAATTTCCCCCATGAAAAATAGTTTTGCAGGGCCATTTCAAAATATGTCAAATAAATATATTTTGGGTAAAATATTTTCATTTCCTTTGTGAAAGGAAAATAAATCTTGGGGTCCCCAAATCACTAAGCTAAAGGGAAAGTCAAGCCGAGAACTGCTAGGACAAACCTGCCTCCCATTCTATTCACAGTCATCCCTCTGCTCACTGAGATAAATGCATATCTGATTGCCTCCTTTGGAAAGGATAATCAGAATCTCAAAAAAATGCAATCATTTGTCTCTCACCTACCTAAGACCTGGAAGCCCCCTCCCTGCTTGAGTTGTCCTGCCTTTTGGACAGAACCAATGTACAATCAATATATATATTGATTGATGTTTCATGTCTTCCTAAAATGTTTAAAACCAAGCTGTGCCCCAACCACCTTGGGCACATGTTGTCAGGCCCTCCTGAGGCTGCGTCACGTGTGTATATCCTCAACCTTGGCAAAATGAACTTTCTAGAGTAACTGAGACCTACCTCAGATATTCAGGGTTCACATTTTGGTAACCACAAAGGAATTCTGAGTAGAAGTGCCCCTGACCTTTGACAAATCTATTGGTGCTTGGTACCAGCTTGAGTTATCATTGCGGCTCAAACCAATAGGACAATTTGCTGAGGCCTGGAAGCACCCACTCCAGAGAATCCCTGATCTCCCCAAATTTGGTTGAAATCTAAAGTTTAATTTGCTGTATGACTCCTTGTTTTGAAGTTTTACTTGCTTCCAACACAAGGAAAGCAAGTTTTTTTTTTTTTGCTTCCATGATGATGGAAAGCAGGTAACTCCTTTGTGCAGTTTCAGCTCACTTCCAACAGGGAAGATGAATTTGAGTCTTTTCCTGCTTCTAGGATGGTAGAGAGCAGACTACAGCCTGAGATCCATCCCTAGGTAAGTAGCTGAATTGGGGTTTGTCTTGGCTAGTTAAAATTAACAACCAGCTGTTCTTAATTTCTCCTTACCATTAGAGTGCTCAATAATTGTATAAGTTGTGCCATCATTATTTCGCTTGTTTTTTTTTTTTTTATTGTTTGTTTCTGGTTTTTTTTTGTTGTTGTTTCAGTGTTTTTCTCATTGGGTTTGATCAAATCTGACTTGATCAAATCCAAAGGAAACTTCCAAATTATGGGGAACACGGCCTCTGAAGTGACTAAATTCCCACACACATGCACAAAAAGCTAGTGTGGTGGGGGAAGAAAAATGGCCATGAAAAGGGGGAAAAAAGAAAGTCTTTTGATTTTGACTACTTAAGAGGCTTTATTTACATAACAAGGCCACCTTTTGGCTAGCCAGGCCAAACTGAAAGAGCAATTGCCGTTGCCCCATGTTGCAGTTCCACAGCTAAGTGTTCTGCCTTCTTTTTTTCTACCACAACAGCCTGGATTTGGTTTCTAAATCAAGCCCTTTCTGCTTTGATACCTGGTACTTCTGAAATAGTAGCAATTTGTTCTAGCTGAAATATAGTAATAAGACTTTAAAAGATTTTTTTAAAGAGCTCAATGTTAAAAGTCAACTTAATTAAAAGCTAACACCCTAGATGTGTATGTTTGTGTGTGTGTGTGTGTATGTATGTGTGTGTTTGTATATGTATGTGTGTGTATGTGTGTATATGTATGTGTGTGTTTGTATTTAAAAGGCCTTCATGTTTTTTATTTTTTATTTTTTCTCCTAGGACCTTGTCTTTTTTTTTTTTTTGAGCAAAAGTTTTTTTCTTCTCAGTTGACTGAATTCTGTTTTCTTCATTTGCTTCTGCTGTTTCTCCTTTCTTTTGTACCCTCTCCTGCATGAGGGATCTAAAATAGTTTATAATAGCTTGGGGTTCCTTAAAGAAACTGGAGAAGGTGCCAGGCTCCCTTTTAGTGATAAGCCTCTGTTTTTCTTTATGAAACCTCAAGAGTGTAAACAGAAAATCTCAGCTCTTAAACTGCTTGCTTTTGTATTGTGTTACATGATTTATTGGCTAAAATAGTTATTGCCACAGAGGCTACTCTTGGGTTCTTAAGGAATAGTGTAGTTTAGACACTTAGAAATGTCTTTGTTTAAAAAAATTGTTTTTTTACTTACACTGTAAAAGCCTCACATGGTCTAGCCTTTTTGGAGACCCAGGATTGAGTATGGGCTCTGTCCAGTGCTCAGAGATTTAGTTAAAAGATAGGTGGTCCCTATCAAATAAAATTGCTTTCCTCATACAATGCTATGATAGATTTCTATAATTTTATGTTTGATTTTGCATCCGTCTTTAATCTCCCATCAGACATTTTCTCTCTGTACCTTGAGATGTACATTTTGCTATCTGATTTTTCATCTAAGCATTGTTTCCTTCAATATGCAGATCTAAGGCTATTTGGCTGACAACTGCCAGGGGAATAAAACATGTTATCAAGAGTTTGCAAGTCTAAGATCAGAAGAAAAAAAAGGAGGTCTTAGGAAACTATAAGATGTACTCCTATCTACATGTATTTATATGTTGTGTATACAATGCTTCACTACTAAAAATACGTAAAATAGCTCTAATTAGTTGGCTTAAGGAAAAATAAAAGGACTTAAATCAAATACCTTATCAGAAAAAGGTAAGATTAGTCAACTGCTTTTTCAAGTTTATGGGATTTAAGTAAAATCTTTAATAAATAAGCTAGCTGTGAAATTATTGGTAAAGTAATATTTAAAATGTCTTAAGAATTCCCAGCATACATGTTTGTTTGCATTTATTAATCAAGCAATTGCATACTTATCCCAGCCAAATACTATAAGGTGTCAAAATTTGGCATAGGAGTTACAAATCTATATACCCAATCCAAAACAGAATGATCTTTGCTTGTGTAATTTCTTTTCTTTTCTTTTTTTTTTTTGAGATGGAGTCTTGCGTTTGTCACCCAGGCTAGAGTGCAATGGCATGATCTCAGTTCAAGCAACCTCTGCCTCCTGGGCTCAAGCAATTCTCCTGCCTCAGCCTCCCAAGTAGCTTGGATTACAGGCATGTGCCACTGTACCCAGCTAATTTTTGTATTTTTGGTAGAGATGGGGTTTCACCATGTTGCCCAGGCTGGTCTTAAACTCCTGACCTCAGGTGATCCACCTACCTCGGCCTCCCAAAGTACTGGAATTACAAGTATGAATCATTGTTCCTGGCCTGCTTGTGTACTTTTTTTTTTATGAGATGGAGTCTTGCTGTGTCGCCCAGGCTAGAATGCAATGGCATGATCTCAGCTCACTGCAACCTCCAAGTCCTGGGTTCAAGTGATTCTTCTGCCTCAGCCCCCCAAGTAGCTGGGACTACAGGCACGCACCACCACACTCAACTAACTTTTGTATTTTTAGTAGAGATGAAGTTTCACTATGTTGGCCAGGATGGTTTCCATCTCTTGACTTTATGTTCTGCCTGCCTCAGCCCTCCAAAGTGGTGGGATAACAGGAGTGAGCCACAGGAGTGTAAAAAATCACACACAGGAGTGTAATTTTTAATAAGTAGTAAATTGATATTGTTTAATAAGAATAGCTACATCTTGAATTATTTAGCAAAATTACCTTCTAATCTTGTGGCTTTAGGCAATTTAGTCCACAGGCAGTAAGGAGGGTGTTCTGGGAAAGGACTGTTACCGTCTTTGTTTCAAAGCTAAATTACAAACTAAGTTCCTCCTAAAGTTAGTTTTGCCTATACCCAGTAAAGAACAAGAACAGCTTGGAGGTTAGAAGCAAGATGGAGTTAGTTAGGTTATCCCTTTTTCTCTGTCTCAGTTATAATTTTGCAATAATGAGTTTCATAATGTTAAATGACAACTATCACAGTTTTCATAAATGATCTAGGTAAATGATTTAAACAAGTAGCTAAATGTAATGGGATGAATACTTGTAGACAAACTTGTCATAATTTAAAATATAAAGTTATATTCAATTAAATAATAGTTTATTATTTGAGTATTTTCCAATAAAAATATATTGTAGGAAAACATTTTTTCTAAAAAAAAAGTATTCTTTTTAAAAAGAGGAACAATTTTTGTCTAATTCAAAGTTTATTTAAAAATTGTTATGAAACAAGATAAAAGGAACCAGGAAATAAGAGAGATTAAAGAAAGTTATAAAAATAAAGAGGCATTTTATCATAAGAAAGCTTAAAGAGAAATAATTTTATGTGAGAAAGAATCTTGTATGGTAAATTTGGTCCTAGAATAAAATGACTGGTTATGAAAGAGGGCTGTTCAGGACAAACCAGAAAGTCCAAGCATGCCACGATTGGTCTTTGTAAGTCACCATAAAAGGATTTATAAAAAAAAAAAAAAACTTCTGCCCAGGCACAGTGGCTCACGCTTGTAATCCCAGTACTTTGTAAGACCAAGGTAGGTGGATCACCTGAGGTCGGGAGTTTGAGACCAGCTTGACCAACATGGAGAAACTCTGTCTCTTCTAAAAACATAAAATTAGCCAGATGTGGTTGTGCATGCCTGTAATCCCAGCCAGTCAGGTGGCTGAAGCAGGAGAATCACTTGAACCCAGGAGATGGAGGTTGCAGTGAGCCCAGATTGTGCCATTGCACTCCAGCCTGGGCAACAAGAGCAAAACTCCATCTCAAAAAAAAATTTTTATATGCTCAAGTTGACTATAATTAAAGGGAAATTATAAGGCTCTTTCTAGAGATTTGCTTTGATGTTAAGAAAAACTTATACACTAAAGAATTGATAAGAACAATAAAATTTTCTTAAGGGGTTGATTTACTTGTAATAAATTATGGGAGATATTAATTTTTTTTAACCCATAGTTCAACTTTTATTTCATCAAAACCATTTTTGGATTTCTCTCCCCTTTCAAAAGGTGTGAAATAGTAACACTCCCCTTCAACTCATTTTCAGTCCATATAAACTTTTTTTCAGTCAAGATCTGTCTGTTGGGGCCTGATGCTAACAGTGTTTTCTCAAAGGTCTAAAGGAGATGTTTTCTTCCAAGATAATATTCTGTGAACTGCAGATGATTTTTTTCTTTTGTCTTTTGGTAACTGGCCTAACAGATTTTATGTTTTATCAAAATAATTTCTATGTCACTGTTATTAAGTTTTGGTTCGCTTAGAAAAAAACTGAGGTTTAAACAAAATTCTTAAATTAAGGTTGTTACATTCATGTGTCTTTCTATATGTGCTTTTAAAGTCCTTGTGATATTGAGTCACAGGGCTCTCACTCTTGAGTCTAAAAAGGACACCAAGTCCTGCTAAATCTTAAACACTGACAACAACTAAAACCTCATCTTCAGGCCCAGTAGAAGATGTCAATCAAAATAAATGGTATTCCTGAGGCACAGGGCCATACATTAAAGCTATATAACTCAAGGCCCAGGGATTATTGCAAAAGAGGAACATGTGTGAGATTGTAAGGGTGGGTTTTGAGAGATAAAATAAATTCAGTTTCTCTATAAATTAACAATTAATGTCAAAGGCACACTGATGCAAGACCAGTATATGGCCCCCGAGTCAGATTAACAAGGTTTTCTTGAAGCATTAACCTACTCCTTAATAAAGGTTATAAAGGTTACAAAAGGCTTATGGAAATTATATCTTATGGTCAAGATCAAAATTTTATAGATTATTTATAACCTTTTGAAAAAAAATTAATTGGCTTCCTGATGTTTTTATTAGGACTTATTGTTTGGAAAATTAAGTCTCCTCTCTCAAAGAATGAAGGCTTTCTTTTGAAGGATGAGGCCTTTTTTTTGAATCCTTCAGTTATCACATTGGTTAAATAAATGACTTATTTTACGATGACCTGTGGCCCTATTTTGTAATATAAAGTGTCTTAAACCTCTGATATTTAACAAGCTTTCCAAAATCAAACTATAAATTATGTCTTTTTCCTACCTAATTAATTCTTTAAGATATTAGCTTCCCTAAAGGCCAAAAATGACATATTTGGTTTATTTGGTATAAAAATTAGATATGAAACATTGTTAAGTATGAAATGGTGTTTGGTTTTCTTTGGACTGTATTTACATAAACATATTATTGTTGTATGTTCCAAAATTATGGGAAACTCCTATAATTCTGATACAACTTAGTGTGTGTGATCAGTAATAATTATCATTATTATGTTAAATTATTGTGTGCCACAGAGGTAACACATTTCCTTGTCAATTGTGTCTTTAAATATGGCTATCTGAAAACTTTTTGTTATCCACGGACAATTGTTTTCTTATTTTGGTCCTCTTTGGAAGGTAGTTTTATAATCAGCTATAAAACTCTAACAGGTTCTCTTGAATGCAGGTTTCTGATAACTTTGTAGATTGTGACTTCAGAATAGAGGAAAAACTTTCAGGTTTCATGGAGAGCTGAAATGTTCATGAATATCCAGCAGAAGAGGAATCAACTGCATGGACAGATCTAATAGAAGACTGAAGTAATCTTTTTGACTTTCTGCTTAAAACATTGCTAATCCTTTGTTTTGTTTTTCAGAGTCAAGGAAACTTTTCTTTTGAGCTATTGGCAACTTTTAATGATTAAGTATACTTCTATGAACAAAACTTGGAGCATCTTTGTTTCTCTCTACTCAATTTCTCCAGAATTTGGAAACTATCTGTGAGTATTCTTAACTTATGACAATATAGTTACTTGCATAAGTGCAATAAGAATTTGTTTTCATTTATAACAGGACACAATTGGAAAAACTGGCTATTTTACAAGGGCTTTGACTAGAAAGGTGTGTGTTTTCAGTTAAAGAATCAAACTTGCTTATAGAGCAATAAAAGCCTCTTGGGAAAACTGGCCTCATACCTTGTCTACACAATCCCTGTACAGGGTTCCTGACTTGTGGTGAGTAAAGAATGTCACTTTCTGATAGGCCCAGGAGTCCCAAGTTATCTCAATGTCTCAAGAGGAGAAGAATTCATCCAACTCTTAGGTATTTGATGTTACAAATCCATGGCTGGGCTCGGCTTTAAGAAAGTCTTATCTGAGATTCCTTCTATGGAACAAAGTTCCATCAAAGCCAGTTTTAAAAGCCTATATAAAAAATAATTATTCTTGCTGCACTTTATACAAATAATCTGGCCAAGTATAATAAAGCAAATTGGTCCTACTGTGATTTGTATTAAGTAAAAATGGGAAACTGAAGAGAAAAAAGTTATGTTTCAAAATCTACAACTATTGTAGATTCTAGTCTTGCCTAATGTTTTTCAATTTTTATTCTTATCTATAATTTGGACTGAATTCCAATCTTTCCTAGCTATGAGTCTCCAAAATAATGTTTTCATTTTTTTCTGCTTTCCTTTCCCCCTGATTTTTTGTAATTTGAAATCACTGCAAACTAAGCTGTTCTTTCCTAAAGACCTGTGAATTGAATCTAAACAACTTGAACTTCTGAAGAAAATAACAGCAACCTATTTACATACATAAGCCACTTTTGTACCTGCCTACTGATGTATGGATGTATTGATATGTGACCTATACTGATTTTCCGGTATTGTTCTTTTGTTTGTTCTTGCTTTTCTCCCTTCCTCCCTCTATTTTCTCTTCATAGGATATAAGACTTCTCAACCTGCTAAAAAATGAGCTTTCCTAATAACTCAGGACCTCTCTGTGCAGGAATAAACCATCCCATCCATGAGAATTCAGACAAACCCTGAGACCAGAGACTCTTTCTTACTAAAATGCTTTCTCCAAAAGGTTTTTTAAAAGAAAAGGGGGAAAATGTGAAAGGAAAATCAATCTTGGGGTCCCCAAATCACTAAGCTAAAGGGAAAAGTCAAGCTGGGAACTGCTTAGGACAAACCTGCCTCCCATTCTATTCAATGTCATCCCTCTGCTCACTGAGATAAATGCATATCTGATTGCCTCCTTTGGAAAGGATAATCAGAAACTCAAAAGAATGCAACCATTTGTCTTTCACCTACCTAAGACCTGGAAGCCCCTTCCCTGTTTGAGTTGTCCTGCCTTTTGGACAGAACCAATGTACATTATATATATATTGATTGATGTCACATGTGTCCCTAAAATACATAAAACCAACCTATGCCCCAGCCACCTTGGGCACATGTCATCAGGGTCTCCTGAGGCTGTGTCACGTGTATGTATCCTCAACCTTGGCAAAATAAACTTTCTAGAATAACTGAGACCTGTCTCAGATATTCAGTGTTCACACCTTCATCACTCTCTGTAGAGTCTGACTTTCTTGCTTCTAACTCCCTTTGTCCTAATTATTGAGATGCTAACTAATCTCAGCTGATGAAGATCTTTTTGCTTTTTTTTCCCTCCTCATGCCATCTTATCTAGGAACGATGAATATTTTGAATGGCAGCTGCATAAAAGACCCTTCCATTTAAGTGATTAACCTTCATTGGTTGCCTGTCTTGAGTCCTAGAAATCAAGGATCCTGGATTCAGTATAAATATTTGTCTAGTGATATTTCCATATTCTTTTTCCCCTTCCCACTTATTCAACTTCTTTCTCCCATGTACACCCATGCCCCAAATTCAATCTTAAGTACCTATCCTCCTTCCTTGTTTCCATGTTCCAACTTGTAGTCTTAACTGTGAATCTGCTTATGTCCTTATAACCTTCTCCAGTTTGCGATGATTGTCCCCACGTTTGCAGAGGCAGGTACTAGAACAGCAATAGCTGGTTAAAAAACAATATAACTAATATCTGCTGAAGTTATGGCCAAAGATAATGATGACAGAATCTAACACTTATTAGGCATTCACTCAAAAATAATTTTTAACACTTAAACAAAATCTTAGTATTTACTAAATGCTTATTATATTCCAAGCAAAATTACAATATAAACTGGGCATTTAATTATAATATCCATTTTCAGATGAGTTAAGTAAGGCACAGAGAGGCTAAGTAACTTGCCCATGGTCACACAGCTAGCAAATTGGTGGTAGAGCTGAAGTAGGACCGGGTCTGTCTGACACAGAGCCTTGTCTGTTAAATACCTTCCAATTCAGTAACTGCCTCACTGCCTCCTGATGGGTTTTGCCTAAAAAAGCGACTACCTTTTTGAACACTTATACCAAGTAAATTCTGAATATTTGAAGACTGACATTACCCTTTGCTTCATAAGTATGCAAACCCCTAGGGTCAGTAAAGATTCTCAGGAAGAAGTCAACACATATGAAAATATCTACAGCAATATATGTCAGAGGCATTTGAACCAGAGCAACTTAATCTTGAATAGCGGCTGGGTAAAATAAGGCTGAGACCTACTGGGCTGCATTACCAGACAGTTAGGCATTCTAAGTCACAGGATGACACAGGAGATCAGCACAAGGCAACATAAAGACGTTGCTGATGAAACAGGTTGCAGGAAAGAAGCTGGCCAAAACCCACCAAAACCAAGCTGGTGACAAAAGTAACCACTGGTTATCTTCACTGCTACACTCCCACCAGCGCCATGACAGTTTACAGATGCCACGGCAACATCAGGAAGTTACCCTATACATCTAAAAAGGGGATGCGTGAATAATCCACCCCTTGTTTAGCATATAATCAAGAAATAACCATTAAAATGGGCACCCAGCAGCCCTGGGGGCTGCTCTGTCTGTGGAATAGCCATTCTTTATTCCTTTATTTTCTTAATAAACTTGCTTTCACTTTACCATGGATTTGCCTAGAATAATTTCTTGTGCGAAATCCAAAAACCCTCTCTTGGGGTCTGGATTGGGACATCTACTTCTGGTAAAATATACAGAAAAAGTGAAAAAGAATTATGTATTTAACTAAGAAAATTTCTGATAAGCATTATTTCTTTTACTGTTATTTAGTAATAAATTCATATTAATAATCAATTATTTATTTTAAATATTAAATTCATTTGTATGTCAGGTGTGTAGACAAAAAGAGTCAAACTCTGTAAAATATTTGAAGATACTTATTTGGAGTCAAATGTGAATGACCAATGGCCCTTAACATAGCCCCAGGAGATCCTGACAACGTGTCCCCAAAGCAGTCGGGCTGCAGCGTGGTTTTTATATAAGGGAGACAGTTTGCACTCAAGAGATCTGCCCACCTCAGTTTCCAAAGTACTGGGATTACAGGCACGCCCCACCGTGCCTGGCCTCAGGTTTGCCTTATGCTCTTGGCCAAGAGAAGGGGTCCATTTAGTTGGTTGGGGAGGGGGCTAAGAAATTTATTTTTGGTTTACGGATATTTTATTGTTCTGGCAATTAACATCTGTTTAAAATGAGGTCCTAACTGCTATGCACATAGGCTTACTTTTGAGAAAGAAGCTCAGAATGATGTTCTGGTATATTCCTATTTTCTATTTTTCTTTCCACTAACTTGCTCACATTACCCCCTCATTTGAGATTAACTCCAAGATTAATCAAAATTTATCTAAATTCTAAGATCAAGTAGAATTGATGAAAAGAGTCAAACTCTGTAAAATATTTTTAGCGATTTATTCTGAACCAAATATGAGTGATCATGGCCTGTGACGCAGCCCTCAAGAGCTCTTGAGAACATGAGCCCAAAGTGTTCAGGGTACAGCTTGGGTTTATATATTTTAGGGAGGCATGAGACATCAATCAAATACATTTAAGAAATACATTGATTTGGTTCAGAAAGGCAGGACAACTCAAAGCTGGGAGCAGGTTGGTGATTCCAGGCTATAGGTAAATTTGAACATTTTCTCGTTAAAAATTGGTTGAGTTTGTCTATAGATCTGGGATCAATAGAATATAAATCTTCAGGTTAATATAAAAGATTGTGGAGGCCAAGGTTCTTTTGAAGTCTTATAGTGGCTGCCCTTAGAGACAATAGATGACAAATGTTTCCTATTCAGATCTTTAGAAGGTGCAAGACTTTTAGTTAATCTCTTCAGGATTGGGAGGGCCTGAAAGAAGATCTAGCTATGTTAATAGAGAATCTTTACAGGTACACATTTTCCCCCCGCAAAGGATGGCTTTGCAGGGCCATTTCAAGATATAGCAGAGAAACATGTTTTGGGATAAAATATTTTTATTTTCTTCCTTGTTTTGTCTGAGTCAGATTGGAAAGTAAGTCACAATATACATAGTTAAATAAAACGCATCTGATGAGAATTTATGGTTTGTAGGGCATGATGCCCCAGACCCCTTAGACAGGAATTTGGTCTAGATTTGAAAAATCAGAGCTTAGTCCTCAGAGCAATGGAAAAAAGTGATGTTTCCAGGTCTGAAAACCTGATACCGACCCTCTGGCCTGTGGTAGCACATCCAGTTTAAGGCAAACTCCCTTCATGATTTATTCATGCAATTTAAAGATTCTTGGGAATTGCCATTACTGAGAAGTTAGGAGTTTCTGTTATTTTTTTCTAGCTAAAAAATTCCATGGTGGAGTATTTATCAGGAGGAGATTTTCACTAAAGAAGGACACTCGGTTTTAGATTATTTAGATTTAGATTTCAGATGGTGTCATTTGGTTTTTTTTGTTTGTTTGTTTTTGAGATGGAGTTTCGCTCTTGTTACCCAGGCTGGAGTGCAATGGCGCAATCCCGGCTCACCGCAACCTCCACCCCTGGGTTCAGGCAATTCTCCTGCCTCAGCCTCCTGAGTAGCTGGGATTACAGGCATGCACCACCATGCCCAGCTAATTTTCTGTATCTTTAGAGACGAGTTTTCACCATTTTGACCAGGATGGTCTCGATCTCCTGACCTCGTGATCCACCCGCCTTGGCCTCCCAAAGTGCTGGGATTACAGGCTTGAGCCATGGTGCCCGGCCGATGTGATTTGTTTAGTAACATGAATCAGCACGAGAATCGGTCTGGACATCGTACAGAAAATAAGAAAATAAGCTGTTTTCCCCATATAGGAACATCGTGCCAACACGACCACAATCTTTTCATGGCTGATATCTGATGGCTGAGCAAAGTGTCTAAAGGCATAGCCTGATTATTTCTAAATTAATATGGAATTTGTATTATTTTATGTTTCAAGGACTCTGATTTTTTTTCAAGTTGTTTTTGATTGATCTATCATTTGAGGACAATTTTATACATTTCTGGGCTTCTGCCCCACATTTTGACAAGCTGACAATTCAAATTTGACTTTGGCATGGTAAGCAAGATTTTCCTTGCTCTAACTCCAAATGCACTCTATGTCTCTCACTGCCCTCTGTTGGCTGGAACAAGAGGTGCTGGCTCGGGTAAAATTGCTCCATCAGTAACCTAAAACCTGTTTCTAGTGGTAGATGTGCAAGAAACTTTGCTCCTTGGAGGTTACCCTCCAGAATAGTTTGACCTTAAGTGTCTTAGATTTAATCTCCATTTTAGAGGTTGTAAGAATAATTGGTATCCATCATATATAATAGTATGGTGGTGTGTGAAGACTATAGACTTTGCAGGCAGACATCCTGTTACTTTATAATCTTGGGCAAGTGATAACATGTCCCTAACTCTTCCCTTACCCAGCTTGCCTGGGTCATTGAAGAACGGAATGAAATAGTGTTTGCAAAGCATCTTACACAGTTTCTAGGAGAGATGTAGTGCTTAATAAATGCTGATCTTCCTCTCTGCCCTCACTCATGCTCCCTTATGCACCCACACAAATATTTCTAGGCATATTAATTTATCTTGCATTGCTATAAAGGAATACTTTGAGACTGGGTAAATCATAAAGAAAAGTAATTTATTTGGCTCATTGTTCTGCAAGCTGTACAAGCATGCCACCAGCATCTGGCAGGCTTCTGATGAGGCTTCCTGAAGCTTTTGCTTGCAGCAGAAGGCAAGGGGAACCAGTGTGTCACATGGTGAGACAAGGAACAAGAGTAAGAGGCGAAGTGGTGCCAGACTCTTCTCACATGAACTAATAGATCATGCATGAACTGATAGAGTAAGAACTTGCTCATTGCCTGGGAGAGGGTTCCAAGCCATTCATGAGCGATCTGCCCCTGTGATCCAAACACCTCCCACTAGGCCTAGCTTCCATCATTGGGGATCACATTTCAACAGGAGACTTGAAGGGGACAAATATCCAAACTATGCCACTAGGGATGAGTCCATAGCAAAACTCCTGCAGATGCATTATTTCATCTTACAACAACCTCCTATCCTGGCAAATAAGTAGTAGAAGCTACACTCTGCACAATGTTATTCAAAATTTTGTTTGCTCACATCTCACTGGTTCTTATTCATAGAATTAAAAAGTGTGGTATACTTCTACCACCACCATCATTTCTTCCACCTAACATTCTTTTTCATTTTCCTAGGTGCAAAGAACTGAATGTGTTGCAGTCCATTGAATTAATCCAAAATTCGTATGTTGAATTTCTCACCTTCAATGGGATGGTATGAGATGATGGGGCCCTTGGGAAACAATTAGAGTGAAGCCCTCATGAATGGGATTAGTGGTCTTCTAAAATGAACCTGAGAGAGTTCTTTCATCTTCTTCCTGCCATGTGAAGACATAAAGAGATGATCATCTAGGAACCAGGCCCTCACCAGACACAAAGTAAGTCTTCTGTCACCTTGATCTTGAGTATCTCAGTTTCCAAGCAGTGAGAAATAAGTATTGTTCAACCACCCAGTTCGTGGTATTCTATTGTAGTGGCCCAAATGGACTAAGACACTTATATTTAAAAAAAAAAAAAATCTTTATTAACTGCTTTTCTTTCTTTTTTCTCTTTCTTTCTTCTTTCTCTCTCTCTCTTTCTCTTTCTTTCTTTTTTTGACAAAGTCTCACTCTGTCGCCCCGGCTGGAGTGCAATGGCGTAATCTCGCCTCACTGCAACCTCCACCTCCTGGATTGAAGTGATTCTCCTGCCTCAGCCTCCTGAATAGCTGGATTACAGGCATACACTACCACGCCCAGCTAATTTTTGTATTTTTAGCAGAGACAGAATTTCACCATGTTGATCAGGATGGTCTCGAACTCCTGACCTCATGATCCACTTGCCTTTGCCTCCCAAAGTGCTGGGATTACAGGTATGAGCCACTGTGCCCAGCCAACTGCTCATTTTTCATAGTTGAATGTCATTAAATATTGTTTAACATGGATAAAATAACGTAGAGGAAATTATGCAGAGATAACAATTAGGAAATAAAGATAGAAATAGTCAAAAGTGGTTACCCAATGGTAGTAGTACTTGAAATGGGTGGAGAGGAAGGCAGAAGACTTTTACTTTGATTTTACAGTTTTTTGTATTGTTTAATTTTTTTACATGTGCATGTATTGTTTAAAATTATCTTTTTTGTGTGTGTATGAGACAGAGTCTTGCTGTCACCTGGCTGGAGTGCAGTGGCATGATCTCGGCTCACTGCAACCTCTGCCTCCCGGGTTCAAGCAATTCTCCTGCTTCAGCCTCCCGAGTAGCTGAGACTATAGGAGCACGCCACCATGCCCAGCTAATTTTTGTATTTTTAGTAGAGATGAGGTTTCACCATGTTGGTCAAGATGGTCTTGATCTCTTGACCTTGTGATTTGTCTGCCTTGGCCTCCCAAGGTGCTGGGATTACAGGTGTGAGCCACCATGCCCAGCCTATAATTCTTTTAAACTTTCAAATCTTTCCTAATTAGTATAGTTCAGAGATCCTTAAGGCTTAATGTCTGTGCCTGAGGAATGGTAAAGTGTTATGCTGAGTGTATTTCTTAAGGCAGGCTATTGCTATAAGAAATTAACCTCAAAATATATTATGTCTCAAACACCACAGAAGTCTACTTGTTGCTCTCAGAAAAAGGCGGTTCCAAATGTGTGAGGTGGGGCTGGAGAAGTGGGAGGAGGAAGGGGGAGGATGATGTGTTCCACACAATCATTCAAGGACCCAGGCTGGCAGAGGCTCTGCCATCTTCAGCATGTGGTTAAGGTCACCTGGGAATTAACATCCAGCCAGCACAAGAGGAAGGAACATGAAGAAGTATGCCTAGAATTGTTATGCACCAGGCCTGGTAGTGCTGCACATTGCTGTGCTCATATTGCATTGATTGGAACTCAGTCCATTGGCCCCACCTAATTGCAAGAGAGGCTGAGAACTATGAACCAGCTGAATACCCAGGAAGAAAAGAACATGGATTTTGGTTAGCAACTAGTGGTTCTGTCACACAGGATCACAATATATCCTTTTAGGATCCCTACTTCAGAGGACCCATAGTCAAGTCTCATAATGCTAGGACAAAACCCTCACTCTAAAGATAGGATGTAAAAGATTCTTTTTGGCACAGCCCCTCAGCCCACCTCTAATTTCAGCTTAAACTGAATAGTTCCCAAGCTCACTGTCCAGTGACCCACACCTAGTGGACCTGCAACTCTCGGTTTTTCTGCTCTGTGTTTCTTTTCTGAAGCCACAGGAGTTCCCTCAGCCCATATGCAGGACAGCCCAAAAGTACAGGGAGAGTTAACACCATAGGAACAAACCTCAACCAAAGATGTATGGATAAGGCAGATAAGAGCAGGTTCATCACAGCTTTATTCATATTAGCCAAAGTGGAAACAACCCAATGCCCATCAACAGAAGAATAGATACATTCATCATGGTATATTCATAAAATAAAATACTACATGGCAATCAAATAGAACAAAATACTGAAATAAGCAACAATGTGGCTGACTCTCAGAGATATTAAGAGAGTGAAATAAGCCAAATTTAAAAGAATACATGCTGTATGATTTCACTTATATATAGTTCAAAAATAGGCAAAACTACTCAATGATGATAGAAGTTGGAATAATGATTACTTCCCCGTGGGGTTAGAATACAGACCCAGAAGAAGCAAGAGGAAAGCTTTCTAGGTGATGGGAATTTTCTGTATCTTGATTTGTGTGGTGATAACATAAGTGTATACACAAGCAATAATTCATGAAGCTATTAGGATTGGTGCTTTGGGTGTATGTGTATTATTCATGTATAAATGTTAAAAAAAAATACTGAGGCTTCTATTCCCAAGAAAAAAGCAATGAACAGTATTTGTGATATCCACTCCAAGGGGGAGCCTGAGAACTCAGGATCTTAATCTTCCTTTGCTATGTACCTCCAGTGCCTGTGCCACTGACCTCGGAAGGAGAAGGATCTGCAGAGCACGTTCTCAGGACAGCCACTCCTGAGGCTGGTGGGACTCGTGATTGCTACTTGAATTGGAATAATTAGAACGGACATGAAAAAGGAATGAAGACATATCCCTTCAAATTTAAACCTACAACTTAAAATGCAATTTCATGAGCACTGTGGGAGGCCTGAGTTTTTACTGCTGGAGCCAATAGTGAAGATCTATCTGGAAATGTGATTACCTACAGTAAGCACAATCACAGATTTCGGTTGACAACTGGGAGGTCTCCTTCCTTCCTGCGATCATCATCCTAACACTACATTGAAATGTGTGCTTCCAAAGGTCTTCACTGGTTGGAACCCAGAAATATCTTCACCTGCGTTTTATTTGGTAGCAGGCTTAATTTAAATACAGCAGCCAGTGAAGACTTTCTGCTATCAAAATTATTCAAAGCCTCTTCTAAATGACTTCCTCCAAAATACAGTGTTTATCTATCTGGTTGTTAAACACTTCATTTAAACTTAATGTTTATTTCTCCCTAAAAATATGTCGGATTGAGGATTTCTGGGTCAGTAATTTCTACAAGATTTGATAGAGTCACAAGTCCTGATACTTCATTATTTCCCAATGGAAACATTTATCAGGAATAATATAATAGATTGTTAGTTGCCTCACTTTTTTTCTTGAAATGAAATGGGCAGAGCTTTGAAAAACTTAAGAAAATTGTAGAGTTGGTTTTTCCTGTTTGTTTTTAACCTACCTCTTCTCTGCCTTTAACTCTGGGCAATAATGACTTTAGGTTAAGCTGCCTGAGCGCAGTATTAACTTCCAGTTATTCGTTCTTGGTTCTTCTTTTTTATTTTGAGACAGAGTCTTGCTCTGCCATCCAGGCTGGAGTGCTGTGGTGCGATCTCGGCTCACTGCAACCTCCCATGTTTAACCAATTCTCCTGCCTCAGCCTCCAGAGTCATTGGGATTACAAGCGCCCACCACTGTGCCCAGCTAATTTTTGTATTTTTAGTAGAGTTGGGGTTTCAATGTGTTGGCCAGGCTGGTCTTGAACGCCTGACCTTAAGTGATCTGCTTGCCTCCACCTCCCAAAGTGCTGCAATTACAAGCCTGAACCACCATGCCTGGCCTAATTCTTGTGCAAAAGCAACATTTTAACATCTTAGCAATAGTCAATATCTACATTCTTACAAATCTGCCTTCTGGTAAACCAAGTAGCTATATCAAGGGCCCTGAAGCAGGACTGTGAATTTGACTCCCATACTTTCTTTTTCTGTTTTGTTTTTTTTTAAACGGTTAAAAACACATAACATGGGGCTGGGCGCGATGGCTCAAGCCTGTAACCCCAGCACTTTGGGAGGCTGAGGTGGGTGGATCACGAGGTCAAGAGATCGAGACCATCCTGGTCAGCATGGTGAAACCCCGTCTCTACTAAAAAAAAAAAAAAAAAAATTAGCTGGGCACGGTGGTGCGTGCCTGTAATCCCAGCTACTCGGGAGGCTGAGGCAGGAGAATTGCCTGAACCCAGGAGGCGGAGGTTGCGGTGAGCCGAGATCCCAGGAGGCGGAGGTTGCGGTGAGCCGAGATCGCGCCATTGCACTCCAGCCTGGGTAACAAGAGCGAAACTCCGTCTCCAAAAAAAAAAAAAACCCCACATAACATTAAATTTGCCATCTTAACCATTTGTAAGTATACAATTCAGTAGTGTTAAGTATATTCACATTGTTGTACAACACATGTCTGGAACGTTTTCATCTTGCAGCACTGAAACTCTATACGCATTAGACACAAATTCCCCCTCCCCTCTCCAGCCCTTGGTAACTACCGTTCTACTGTCTGTTTCTAAGATTTTTGACTACTTTGTTTGTTTTGTTTTGAGATGGGAGTCTTGCTGTGTTGCCCAGGCTGGAGTGCAGTGGTGCAATCTCAGCTCATTGCAACCTCCGAATCCCAGGTTCAAGAAATTCTCCTGCCTCAGCCTCCCAAGTAGCTGGGATTACAGGCGTGAACCACTGTACCTGGCCTTGATTTTGACTACTTTGGATACTTCATAAATGGAATCATACAATATTTGTCCTTTTGTGACTAGTTTATTTTGCTTAGCCTATGTCCTCAAGCTTTGTCCATGTCCCCACACTTTCTTTTTCACCACTCTTTGGTAGAAAACCACTGGGTGACCTGGGTCCATTCCCCTCTGCTGGAGGCATAAACTAGGAATGGCTTTGATGTTGCTCACAATTGGGCTTTTCACCGAAGCATTTTGCAGCTTTTTCTATCTCTGTCATGAGTGATTGGTAAAAATTTCTTTGAAAATCTTCCCATGCTAAGTCACCTCATTCACACTCTAGAATGAAAAACTAGGGGGACTCGAATTTGTTCACTTATTGAAGGCCCAGACGAGGCCCTTAAGAATGATCATCCCTTGATTATAGAAACTCTCTCAATATACCTTTGAAATAAGGAGGGTATGGCAGATTGTATTTTACAAAAAATGGCTGCAACAGCATTTCTAGCCCTACATGCTCTTCTTAACCCTGCCACTTCCCCATCAACACTTGGAATTACATCACCTTTCCTTGAACCTGGGCAGACATTAGTGCTTGCCTCAATGAACAGAATGTAGTATAAGCGCATAACTGCCAAGGATAGGTCATAAAAGATAATATAACTTTTAGATGATTCTCTCTCTCTCTCTCTCTTTATCTCTCTTGGACATGAGCCTGTAGAGTGCCTAGTCACCTTGTAAGAAGTCCAGCTATCCTAAAGTCAGACTGCTGGAGAGACCATGTGCAAAGACTACATAGAAATGGAGTTGTCCAAGGAGCCAGTTCCAGCCCCCAGCTGATTGAGTCTTTCTAGCCTGGCAGCAGACATGTGAGTGAGCAAGCCTTCAGATGATGCCAGCTGTAGCCATTGTCTGACTGTAACTTCATGAGAAAAGCTGAGCAAGAACTGCCTAGCTGAGCCCAGTCAACCCCACAACCATGAAAGATAATAATAACGACCATTGTTGTTTAAGCCACTAGGTTTTAGGGTGGTTTCCTCGGCAGCAATAGATATTGGGAGCAGAGTGCTAGTCATCCATTTATCCTAAAGAAGGTTAGATGACTCTTGCTTCATAAAACTTTGTTGTATTAGTCTGTCTTTCCACTGCTGATAAAGACATACCAGAGACTGAGTAATTTACAAAGAAAAAGAGGTTTAATGGACCAACAGTTCCATGTGGCTGGGGAGGCCTCACAATCACGGCAGGAAGGCGAAAAGGAACATCTTACATGGCAGCAGGCAAAAAGAGAATGAGAGCCAAGCAAAAGGGGATTTCCCCTTATAAAACCATCAGATCTCATGAGACTTATTCACTACCATGAGAACAGTATAGGGGAAACCATCCCCATGATTCAATTATCTTCTACCACTCAAAAACAAAGGCATTACAGGAGCTATGAGATGAGATTTGGGTGGGGACACAGCCAATCCATATCACTTGTAAAAAGTCTTGTTTGTTAACTAAGGTATACACTACCACCTTAAAGCAACAACATAGAATAACCACCCTTCAGGCCTTGATAGAGAATATAAACTACAATGATCTGCTCACAACCCTAATTAAAGGTTGATATGGTTTGGCTGTGACCCCACCCAAATCTCATCTTAAATTGTAGTTCCCACCTGGTCCCCACAGGTCATGTAAGGGACCAGGTGGAGATAATTGAATCACAGAGGTGGTTTCCCACATCCTATTCTCATGATAATGAGTAAGTTCTCACCAGACCTGATGGTTTTATAAGAAGTTTCCCCCTTCACCGGATGCTCATTCTTCTCCTAGCTGCTGCCATGTAAAGAAAGATGTGTTTGCTTCCCCTTATGCCATGATTGTAAGTTTCCTGAGGTCTCGCCAGCCATGCTGAACTCTGAGTCAATTAAACCTCTTTCCTTTATAAATTTCCTTTATAAGTTTCTATGATTCTTTATAGGAATCCCAGGTATTTTTTTATAGCACTTTGGGAAGGAAGCAATACAAAGATCTCATTAAGCAGGTGATCTCACTGGAGAAGTGTTTGAGGAACTTGTACTTCTTTGGATTTTCTAGATGTATTCTTTGATTTAATGACAATTTTAGAAAGTTTCAGTCTCAAGCCATATTTCCTTGGTCTGTGATAGAATTGCTCTAAGTGAGTTGGGCTGTAGGTTATGCTGCAGGTTTGATGTTATAAGACAGCTTTAGGAAAGCTTTGTTGCATTTGCTATGGGATATTCTTATAAATATCATTGAGGACACTGTTCACCACATCTCTCAATGTTCATGATATAAAACTCCATATAGAAATTTCTTTCATAGCTAAATTCCAATAAAAGCTAAAGAAACTAAGGCCGGGAAGAGCGGCTTATGACTGTAATCCCAGAACTTTGGGAGGCCGAGGTGGGTGGATCCCCTGAGATCAGGAATTTGAGACCAGCCTGGCCAACATGGCGAAACCTTGTCTCTACTAAAAATCTGAAAATTAGTCAGGTGTGGTGGTGAGTGCCTGTAATCCCAGCTACCTGGGAGGCTGAGGCAGAAGAATTGCTTGAACCCAGGAAGCAGAGGTTGCAGTGAGCTGAGCAAGACAGAGTAAGACTTTATCTAAAAAACAAAAAAAAACCTTGGGAAACTAGAGTGTTTTGCTCTGTAGTCAAGAGAATCACAATTAGCCTTCATTTTTGTTTTTGCAGCAGAAAACTCAAATCCAAATCTGTGGCTCAGCTTAGAAAATTATGTGGAGCCCTATTGCTTGTGTGTCATTTCATTTCACTGACTTTTTTTTTCCCTAATGTATGTTTCTATGATTCTTTATTATTTATATTTTGTATTTGATCAATGTATTATTGTAAGCTTTTTCAAATCCGTTTTAAAAGAGAACATGATACTAATTTTTTTTTTTAATACAGAATCTTACTGTTACCCAGGCTGGACTGCCGTGGTGCAATCACAGCTTACCTCAGCCTTGACCTCTTGGGCTCCAGCATTCCTCGCACCTCAGTCTCCTATGTAGCTGGGACCATAGGCAAGTGCCACCATGCCCAGCTTATCTTTTAATTTTCTGTAGAGATGGGGTCTCCCTGTGTTACCCAGGCTGGTCTTGAACTCCTGGGCTCATGTGATCTTCCTGCCTTAGCCTCTCAAATTGTTGGGATTACAGGCATGAACCACCATATAAATAAGTAAATTATCCTTGTGAGACCTCAGAAAATTATAGGCCTCCCACAGGTCTGATTTAATGATTCATTCATTTACTTTTAAATTTCGATTAAGGCTGGGTATGGCAGCTCACGTCTGTAATCCCAGCCCTTTGGGAGGCTGAGGCGGGTGTATCCCCTGAGGTCAGCAGTTCGAGACCAGCTGGCCAACATGATGAAATCCTGTCTCTACTAAAAATATAAAAAATTAGCTGGGCATGGTGGCAGGTGCCTATAATCCCAGCTACTCAGGAGGCTGAGGCAGGAGAATCACTTGAACCTGAGAGTCAGAGGTTGCAATGAGCTGAGATCAGGCCACTGCACTATAGCCTGGGCAGCAAGAATGAAACTCCATCTCAAAAAAAAAAAAAAAAAATATATATATATATATGGATTATGCATCTACTTTCAACCAGGCATTATACTAGAAAATGTCACAGCTGAAAATATTTTTTTAAAACACAGAGTTTTTGCCCTCAGAGAAACAGGAATGTCTGAAGGTGGTCCAGAAATGTAGTGCTCAGTAGCAGCAGGTAGTAATTTCAAATAGTGACATCTTTGAGGTCCCATAGACATCATAAAACCAAATCTCTTAATCCTTTTCATGAATAAGCTGGGAGGAGTAAGTGGGGAGTGGATATTAGATGAATATGATCTTTAGATTCCTGGCAGAAACTTCAACAGGCTGCTATCTCAAATACTCTTTCCAGTTTTAGAGAAATTGTTGAACTTGTCCCTTAGACCTGAATCTCCATTTCTACAGTGACCAATTTGTTTATCTTCTGCGAGGCCAACACTTGTAACTCTCTGCTTTGTGACCTGGCTGCTAGTTCTACTTCCATATTGATTCTCTGATTCCTACACAGGTCTTCGGTAGTCTTTTTTTTTTTTGAGACGGAGTTTTACTCTTGTTACCCAGGCTGGAGTGCAATGGCGCGATCTCGGCTCACTGCAACCTCTGCCTCCTGGGTTCAGGCAATTCTCCTGCCTCAGCCTCCTGAGTAGCTGGGATTACAGGCACACGCCACCATGCCCAGCTAATTTTTTTGTATTTTTTTCGTAGAGATGGGGTTTCACCATGTTGACCAGGATGGTCTTGATCTCTTGACCTCGTGATCCACCCGCCTCAGCCTCCCAAAGTGCTGGGATTACAGGCGCCCAGTCCTTCTGTAGTCTTAATATGTCCCAGTTAGGTTAACTTTTACAAAGCCTGTCTCTTAGGACACACCAAGGTCCTCCAAACCTGGGAACTCTCAGTTTCTCCTCTTGCCAATGGTAACAATAAATCTAATCTTCTTTGTCAACCTTAAGCCTTGGATTTCTGGCCCACGTCATTACTGCTGATGGTGTTTCTGTGAAAGTTTCTACTGTCCTTTGGATTCTGTACTCTTGTCTTTTGGAGTTCTTCCTATTAAGATATCTTGCCCTTTTTCTAAAAGAGCTTTTTGTTACCCACACTGCAACATTCCTGGAAAATGTGTTTATTAAGTCCATTATTCTAAAATCTAGATTCTAAAGAATATGCTTGATTTGCTAATGTTCATACTTTGTAATTAAATAAAAAAATCCCTTTTGGCTTCTCTAAATGCTGGGTTCCAGGTACTTGTAACAAAATGCAAATAAGCCTGCTCTTCTGTAGGCCCTTGTCTGCGGAGTTTTAATAAACTATACTACTATGAGCTGAATTTGCATAGATCTACATTGCTTTTTTGAAATGTTAATATGCTGTCTTCCATTGACCTAGTAAGAGATATGCGACCTCAGCTAATTTCCCTGGCGAATAGTTTGTCAAAAAGTGTGAATATTATTCCTGGCAAATAATCCTCATGCTGTCATTTTTCTTAATGTAACATAAAAAGAGAAAGTGTTTCCCCTTCCCATATACAGGAAGATCTTTTAGTGGTGACTTTAGCAATCATTCTCTGACACACCCACATCACCTGCCACTGAGCATTCTGTGCTCAGTGATTGCTCGAAGTGTCAGTGCTGCAAAATGAAACCACATTCAGGAGATGATGGCCCCATGACTTCAACACAACCCCAAAGGTTTAGGATATTACTCTTTAATATGGTACCTTTCCTCTGCTCTAGGCTTTCATTAATACCATTCACCCTCCCTTCCCCTAACATTTTGTCAAAGAAATATCCACCTCTAAGAACTATCTAAATGACTTCACTGCTGTTTTGAAGGGTACAGTTCAAAAACATAATTTGCATCTTCTTGTCCTCCCGGTTGGTGGTATTAAGTGAATCTTAGAGCAAAACCTCCATGCTGTGCTTCTACAGTGAATAATTAGGTCTATCCCTTAACCAAAGCAGATTTTATATACAACTTACTGCATTTCTTTAGCCGTAACACTCTCTTTCATAGAAACTGGTTCCACATCTGCGTTTTCCCCTATATCTTTAAGCGCCACAATTACCTCAGCAACTGGCCATTACCTGTAGAAGCCATATGTCATTAGAGAAAGTTTGCAGGAAATCGTCTGGTCAAAGAGCAATATGTATTCATTGCTACTGAGCACTAAGCAAATATATTCAAGTGGGAAACACCATTTAGTTATTCTTCTTATGCAAACATATTACCCATGATAAAAGTAAGATGACCAGCACTGGGGTTCCTCAAGGTCTTAAAAAATATTGACTTCATGGCCTACTCTAGAAGCCAGAACACTTTGAATTGCAAGTGACAGAAAATCATCTTTTTTTTTTTTTTGAGACAAGGTCTCACTCTGTCACCCAGGCTGGACTATAGTGGCGCAATCTTGGGTCACTGCAACCTCCACTTCCTGAGTTTAAGCAATTCTTATGCCTCAGCCTCCTGAGTAGCTGGAATTACAGGCGCCCACCATGCCTGGCTAATTTTTATATTTTTAGTAGAGACAGGGTTTCACCATGTTGGCCAGGCTGTTCTCGAACTCCTGACCTCAAGCGATCTGTTCACCGTAGTCTCCCAAAGTGCTGGAATTACAGGCATGAGCCACTGCACCCAGCCAGAAAATCCATCTTTAAATGATTTAAATAACAAAGGCAAATTGTTGACTCCTAACGCATGAAACTCACAGGCCAAGAGTGAGAGCTGGCTCTAAAAAGAGGCTTGAGCCTGCAGTACAAACCATGTCACCAAGGGTCAGGTTTCTCTGTAGCTCTCCACTCAGTATTGAACATGACTATCCCTGAACAAATAGCTGGTACCTAGGAAATGAGGTTGGAGCTGAGGATAGTTATCCCCAAAGAAAATCAAGATGAGGAATGAATTTGGGGCAGTGGAAACAATCTCTATCAAATCTTCCTACCCTGTATACATTTACCCCATTTTCCACAATTCGCTGCTCTACCTGAGAAACCCTTGCTCATCTAAACTGATGTAATTTTGCTGGTTTTAACTCAGGGGACCACTTTCCTTAGGTTATGTCATCTACTGCCACGGCCTTAAATACCGTCTATGTGACAATGACTCTTAAAGAAGTCCTTTCAGTCCAGACCTTTCTCCTGGATGTTAAAAAGATGTGCTCAACCATCTACTAGATATCTACATTTGTTTTTCTCCAAAGCATTTCAAACTATTATGGGATTTTGTTTGTTAGTTTTCTTTTTGAGACAGAGTTTCACTCTTGCTGGAGTGAAATGGCATGATCTTGGCTCATTGCAGCCTCAGCCTCCTGGGCTCAAGTGATCCTCCCAGCTCAGCCTCCCAAGCAGCTGGGACTACAGATATGTGCCACATTACCAGCTTAATTTTTGTATTTTTTGGTTGAGACAGGGTTTCACTATATTTTCCAGGCTGGTCTTGAACTCCCAGGCTCAAGCAATCTGCCTGCCTTGGCTTCCCCAAGTGCTGGGATTACAGGCCTCAGCCCCCACATCCAGCCGCCAAATTATTGTTTTTTTTTTAAAAAAAAGCCTTATCTTTTAGAGATATATGGTAAAATATTTACAGAAGAAATAATATGATATTTGAGATTTGCTTCAGAATATTTTAGTGGAAGGAGAGGGAGTGGTGTCAATAAGGCTGAACCATTAGATGAATTGTTGAAGCTGAAGATGAGTATACATGACATTATTATACTATTCTTTGCACTTTTGTGTATGTTTGATACTTTTCATAAAAAAGTTTTCCTTTTTTGAGATGGAGTCTCGCTCTGTCACCAGGCTGGAGTGCAGTGGCACAATCTTGGCTCACTGTAACCTCTGCCCCCCAGGTTCAAGTGATTCTTCTGCTTCAGCCTCCCAAGTAGCTGGGACTATGGGTGTTTGCCAACACATCCGGCTAATTTTTGCATTTTTAGTAGAGACGGGATTTCACCATGTTGGCCAGGATGGTCTCAATCTCTTGATTTCATGATCTACCCGCCTCAGCCTCCCAAAGTGCTGGGATTACAGGCGTGAACCACCGCACCCGGCCCCATAAAAAACTTTTTTAAAGACACTTTGAACTGAACCATTTTGTGAAAGTTAAGATATAGATTCAGCCACATGAATGGAGACCTAAAATAATACTACATAATTTTACAGGAGAAAAGATCATTTTCTCTCATGTAAAAGTCTAGTATAGCACTTCCCAGTGTCAGGGGCCCAAGTTCCTTCTACCTTGTTCCTCCACTATTCCTTTGGTCTTCGTGGTCCCACATTGCTCAATATCATATCGCATTTTGGCCAGCAAGAAGGAAAAGACGAAGTGGGTATGCCACTTTTTAGGAGCACAACCCAGAAGTTGTAAACATCACTTCCACTCGGATCCTATTGCCCAGAACTTAATCATGTGAATAATACAGCTGCAAGGAAGGCTGGAAAATATATTGTTTTTATATGTAGACAAATGCCAAGCTAAAGACCTCTAATATTAAGAAAGAAGAGAAGGGATATTGAGAGGCAACTAACAGTCTCAGCGTATTCTGCCCTTTTAGTCACCCAAATACCCACGTGTACCTTCTTTCCACACATTTATTCCCTCTCTTGGGGCAGACACTGCCATACCATCCAGTGTCTGCATCCAGCTCAAAGTTCACAGTCTCTCGTTAATTCTCTGTCCTCTTTCTAATGTCCGAATGCAATTCCTCATTGTTTGGTAGCCTATAAACTAAACATGAGTTACCTGCCTCACACCTTCATTTTATAAATTGTGGAGCAGGGATGGAATAGCTATTATTTAGAAAAAAACTATTGCTGGGTGCAGTGGCTCATGCCTGTCATCCTAGCACTTTGGGAGGCCAAGGTGGATAGATCCGAGGTCAGTTGTTTGAGACCAGTCTGCCCAACATGGTGAAACCCCTTCTCTACTAAAAATACAAAAAATAGCTGGGTGTGGTGGTGTGTGCCTGTAATCCCAGCTACTCAGCAGGCTAAGACAGAAGAATTGCTTGAACTCGGGAGGCAGAGGTTGCAGTGAGCCGAGATTGCACCATTGCACCCCAGTCTGGGCAACAGAGCAAGATTCCTTCTCAAAAAAAAAATAAAGTTTTTTTGAAAAAAAGAAGAATGGGAAACACGAAGCACCCTCAAGTTCCTAGCAATCATCACACCCCACAGAGCAGTGATCGCAAAGGCCTCCTGCCCTGGTAGCGGAGGAAGTCCCTAGATAGTCCCACCTGGCGCTTGTTCTCCCTGCTCCCTGGGGGTGGTAAATGGGGAAGCTGGGACTTCTCTCATGAATCCTTGTCCCTTCCTTTTCATGGCCCCAGGATCATCCTATGGGAGGTTCCTTTCCGCTGTTCTTCTCTATGGCTGCATGTGAAGTGTGCTTTGTAGAATATACCCTACGTGGGGCTGCCCAGTTTTCAAAAGAGACTTCCATGGAACAGCTTTGGGACCTTTGTGCAACTAATCACACAGCCAAAGGTTTTTTCTGAACATTTTAAAAACTTTTAAAAATTATTTTTTATTTTTGTGGGTACATGGGTGTACTACACATATCTTAAGTCAGAAGACTGATCTTTTATGGAAAAGGCATGGAAACAGATTCTCTGAAGGAATACAGTCCTGCCAATTCCATGATTTTAGGCCAGTGAGATCCATTTCAGACTTCTGACCTGCAGAACCGTAATAAGTTTGTGTTGTGTTAAGCCATTAGGTGGCCGGGCGCAGTGGCTCATGCCTATAATCCCAGCACTTTGGGAGGCTGAGGGAGGTGGATAGCTTGAGCTCAGGAGTTGGAGAGCAGCCTTAGCAACATGATGGAATCCCATCTCTACCAAAAATACAAAAAATTAGCTGGGCATAGTGCTATGCGCTTCCGTTCCAGCTACTAGGGAGGCTGAGGTTGCAGTGAGCCAAGATTGCAATACTATACTCCAGCCTGAGCAACACAGTGAGTGCCCATCTCAAAAAAAAAAAAAAAAAAAAGCCATTAGGCTTGTAATAATTTGTTACAGCAGTTGTAGGAAACTGATACAAGAGTATTCTATTAGTTAACACATGGGGCTGTGATATTACCATACCTGAAGAAGGAGGTGAGTTGGAGAGATGAGAAGAGGTATGTTTGGGACAGCTCTGCCCTGGCTCTTCTTTTTTTTTTTTTAATGCTGGGTCTCACTCTGTCTCCCAGGCTGGAGTACAGTGGTGCAATCACAGCTCACTGCAGCCTCAACCTCCTGTGTTCAAGCAATTCTCCCACCTCAGCCTCCTGAGCAGTAAGGATCACAGGTATGCACCACCATGCCTGGCTAATTTTGTTATTATTATGATT